TTTTCTATTGTAAAAATATCTTTTTTTGTATATATTAGTGTATACTTAAAATTAAAACCTTTGTGTCAATATCTGTTCTTATCACACTTTTCCTGTGACTTATTCTTTTAGGGCCAAATTCTGTCATGCCTTAAGGCACTCGCATCCTTTTTGCAGACAATTTCCAGTCTATCTAGCAGTGAGTTAAGGATAGCCAGCCATATTTAGTTTTTGTTTCCTGTTCTTATGAGCTCAAATCACAATTTAAACACATAGTTCCATTAAATAACTACAGGCATTAACTTTGTTTTACATGGCTCTGTACCATACTAGTGCCTTGGACCCAATCCTGCCACTTTTAAAGGCAGTAGCAGTTTTACCATTGACTTTGCTGGGAGCAAGATTGAGCCCTTGAGACCAGAATCTAATATATGTAATCAGGAAGATTAGCTGAACCAGGTGGCCCCATGGTAAAGAACAGGATGGCTGTGAAAGAATGTGCTGCTCCTTGTGAGCAGGAATATCAGAATCTGGCTCTTTACTGAGAGAGTTTTTTTGTATTTGTCAGCAAGGCTCTTGGTGCTGCTTGTTTCAGGTTGGTTCTTGAGGTATAAAGAGAAATTTTCAAAGAAGTGTTCTATTGAAAAATAGCCTTTTTCTAAATCAGAAACTCGCGTTATTTCATTTCTTTTCTGAGGACTTTAGAAGACTAAACATTATGTAATTTCATTTATGCTTTTTTTCTCCTCTCCTCCCATCTCCCTTTCCCCTGTCATAACGGCAGAATGAAAGAAGGAAAAGGGGGAGGGAAAGGCAAAGAAATCATGAACAGTTTTACTGAACCAAAAAGTGTTACAGTCTTGAAATTTGTGGGATGAATAATTGCTATATATAAATATATAAATTATAAATATATAAAATATAGTTGTTATATATAAATAATAGGTTTTTTTAAAGGCCAGTTTGGAGTTTTGTATTACTTTTGACAGGATTTTGTATTTTAAATTGAGCTATCCATGGCTAGAGTTCTTTCTGTGATGGATTGGTAAAGTGGGCTTATATCTTCTGTTTTAATCAAAACGCTTGACAGTTCTGCGTAGGATGATGCATATTATTAAAAGTCTGGGATGCATGGTTCAAATCATCAGTTAAGCGATAAAGAGCTTTTCAGCTCTCATCACCAGTTTGTATCCACTCTGAGTTTTAATGGCTTGAAACCTTACCATTTGATGGCTTTCCAGTGGCCAGTGAGAAGTGAGCTATTGGTCTCATTCCAACTCTTAGTGGACTCATGGCTGTACCACAGTTACCACTAACTAGCACTTCTGCTAAAGTGTCAGTAAAGACTGCTGGTATTGAAATGTCATGGGAATTAAGCTCCTTGTTTTAGTCTTCACCCTGGTATCTGGAGATCAGGCTTTAGACACAAATCTAGAAGGTGTGAGAGAACCTTTACTGATATCACGTTGTATTTGTGTTCTCTGGATAAAAATGAGATTTTAATTCCCAGGGGTGTCAATCTCATATCTTTCTCAGGAATTCACTGAATTTTTTTGAGAAATATATATACTTTTAAAGGAAAATGAAATGCAGTTTGAACCGTACGCTAGTACGTTAGTCTTAACTTACACCTGCAGCACTGACCCAAGGTAACTTTGCATTTCTGAAAATGTTGCCTTTTTGTGTTTTTGTTTAGAAGTAGACATTGAAGGAATGGAATTTACACCTGGTGAAATGGACAGTATTGGGAGTGCCAGCGATGCTGAAGACCACTACAGTTTGCAAAGCGGTTCAAGCGATGGTGGCTATACACATTCCCGCAGACTTAATGCCAGGCTCTCCTAGTGCCTGAGTTACCAGCTCAACTCAGGACCATCTAACTGAAGCACTTATAAGAAAATTCCAGAGGTGTCAACTGCCACTCTTCCGGGAAACCCCAACCACAATACTCTGAAATGGAGGTTTCTTACCCACGGTTCCCTGCACTGTAACCACAATATTAGATATTGTAAATCATGGTTTTGTTGCAGAGAACTGTGGTTAGGTACAGTTGTGACTTAAAGCTAGCTTGATGTAGCCATACTGCAAATTTAAAGAAAAAAAAATCATATCATTCCATTCAAGAAGTATGAAATTCAAACGATTGGAAGCAAATGACGAGATAAGGAGGTTTAAGACAATTATTTTGTGGAGGCCACTTTCAGATGTCAAAAAAAAAAATGGAAACTATCACGTGTTAGTGATTCAAAGCTACAAAAATTCGACTGCTTTTTTTTTCTGGTTTTTTTCATAAAGAAATTATGAATGCTTCATAGCAACTTGTAGAATATATAAATTCTTTTAAACAGCTGTGTTTTGAGAGATTTAGATGGAAAAATCTTCAAATCTCAGATGATCTTTTGAAGAAGGTCATTGACAAGTCACTACTGTACTTCAAAACAGGGAAAAAAGCCAGCTCCAACAATGACTTCATATGGGATGAACTCAACTTTCTTTTGCTTTATGTGTTTGACATCCAACCAGCAGCAAACCATTCTCTCCATTTTAGCAGGGCTACTAGAAGTCAAAGTGGCAGTTCTGACCTGTTATCATGGAATGGATGACACGTCAGTGTTTTGTTTCGTTTTGTTCATTTGACAAATTACAGAGTGCAACTGATTCAGATTTTGATAGTTAATCTTCCCTGCAAGGAAATAAAATTACTGTTTGCTTGTATTTTTTTTTCCCTATTTACAGCTGCCAATACATTTTTATGGAAGGCATGGCTTACAATTACAGTATTCAGCTAGAGGATAATTAATCATTTTTTCTTTTTTCTTTTTTTTTTTTGCTCACTATAATTGCATTTTCTATTCTTTAAAAAATGCAAAAAAGTAAAATGTATGCTGTAAAACAGCAAAGTTTATTTAGTACTCATCAAGCTGTTCAAAACATATTTACCCAAATCGTAGCAATACTATGGAGCTGTATTCTAATACAACTTCAGCTTAGTGAAGTCATTAGAGCTTGGCTTGCTGGGTAAGAAAAAATGGACCAGTCTTTACATTATCTGTTTAAAGAAGGTCTTTTAAAAAAAAGAAAAAAAAAGATTAAAAAAAAGAAAAAAGCTATAAACACTTTTAGAGAAGTGATTTTAGCAAGTGTAGTCTATATTTCCTGTAAGAGATTTTGTATTATATTTTCCTAAATGTTCTCATTTACTTGTATAGGGAGGGGAATGGTACAGACCCAGACCAGAGTCTCAGGGACTCTTCACCTTCGTTATATTGTGCCTTGGTGACCATTTATGTATGCCTCTCCTTTTTCATTGTTCAAAGGACAACTCAGCTTTGTTTCTTTAAGGACCTCTGTTTGAATGATCTTGTTACAAATGAAGGACTGGGAGGTGTATTTGTGTCTTAATCCTCTTGCATCCAGTTCTGTGAGGTTTTAAGTGAAATTATGAAATTAGATTTTGGTGAGAGGGTTCATGATCTTTCCACAGGCCCTCCTTGATTCTTCAGCACCCAGCTCTCTGTTTTGTTACCTTACAAAGTCAGGGTCTCTGTGAGACCAGCATTAAATGGCTATGGAAATACAACCGTACTGTATAATGCTAGAGGATGTCTACCTGTGGTGCCATTTTTAGCATTCAGAAATAAAAACCTCATGACATACTGACCACAGTGATCAAAACAAAGATTTGGTTGTTCTTTTAACATTTGACATATGTGTCCTCCCTTTGGCTCTTACAACACAGAGTAGAAATATGAATACATTTGTGGCAGCTTACAATCCTTGTTTGCACTCTTGCTTACTGTTTGGAACTTGCCAACAAGGAAATGAAATATGTTTAAGTTACATAACCTAATGTATGGCTACTCCTGCTTTGGCTCTGGGGCAGAGCCTAAGGTTATAAACTCTGGCAGCTGAAAAAGAAAACATTTATCCTTTTCTGTGATGCAGGTTTTGGTATTATGTTATACACACCTTGCATATTACTAAAATCCTCATTGTTGGGGAAAGCACACAGCAATATACTCATTGTGTGTAGCTGACAAGCAGCAGAAACTACTAGCTCCTTTGGTGCATATGTAACTAATTTCCAAATCATGGAAAAATTAAGAGTTTACTTTAACATATGACTGTTAACAGGAAAAAAGGCTAGTAATATTGTTGCTGTTCATTTATTCTATAATGAACACATTCATGAATTGTAAAGTGTTTCTTTTTGTGACAAGCAGCTCTTGCACAGAACCTCCTAATAAAAAAAAAATTGAAACTCATAGAAGGAGAGTAGAGATTTTAAATTGAACGCTGTTGTTGATCTGGAATTCTCCTTTGAAAGATGAATGTGCTAAACTTAATGAGTTCTTCCACACTGGGTATCCATGGCTTTGTAGATCCTATATTTTCAATAAAAATTACTCCAATAATCTGAGTAGAAATGAAAAGGGTTTATTTGTTTTTACTTTTAGTTATTACTATGGTAACCATTATCAAGACCAAGAAAAAGGGTATTTTTCTCAGTGAATGTTTGTCTTAAAACCTGATTGACTATGACAACTGTCAGACATAGAACCCATTTCTGCTAATCCGTCCTAACCAAGGAAGTCTCCCTCAAGGCAATGGCACAGTTGTTTTAAGTATTACTTGCTTGAGTAAGAAATAGGTAGGATCAGGCCACTAGTCCAAATGGTATAAAGTGCTAAATGCCATATGCTGCTTCTACTAACTTCAGTGTGAAAAATTGGGGTCTTAATATTCCATTTCAAAACATTTATTCATTGTCCCATCCAGCAGCCAGTGCAGTGTTGTTAATTATATTGCTTTGTTGCTTAGCTACTAGGGATGAATTTAGTGTTCTGGTTTTTCATTAATTTTAAAGGTGGATCTTTGTCACTGCGTGTGCGTAGTTGTTAGTACTGTGGTGCAAACGTTACTGCAAAACAACCTGATTGAATAATCACTTTCTCGGAGTAACTGCAACTGAACTTTCATTTTGTGTAATGGCTGTTTTTAAATTAGAAAATGTAACTTTTTTGTCAGTTACTTTTCGCCTTTTTTCTTTCTGCAGTTAAGAAACATGAACATGAAAGGGTTTGAGGTGTACAAGAATACAGGGCTGGTTCTCCCCTTTCTGGGAGAGAACTGTGGAGGGAGGGAGTTGCCATGAAGCTCTCCTTGCAGAGGTTTGATCTCTCTTATGGAGCAATGGTGAAGTTCTGCCATTGGAACTTGCAGGTCCCAGTAAGACCTGTGTCTCCACTGGTTTTGTGACCTTCTCCCTCCAGTTCAGTCATGTACTCCGAGAACTTCATCAGCTACAGCCTCAGTGAAGCCACAGAAGAGTCGAAGCAGCTCTAAGTTGCATTTATTTTTTTCTACAGAATCCCCCACTAAAGTTGTGGGGGGAAGATGCACATTCCCTTGTTCCCATTCTCCCCCTCTTCGGCAATGCTTCTGCAAACGCATGGAAGACTTACCCTTTCATCTTCCCTTTTTTAGGAAGTACTATCAGTAAGGTGAGCTCCTTTCCATGCGCAATCCCATTCAAGAACTGGCCCCTATTATTTCCCTGTGTAAAAATCAAGCTGATTGCTGTGCCAGTTTTGCTAGAGCGCAGGAATGGACCAAAAAAATAACAACACTACAAAGTTACATCTGGCATTTGCAGACAGGCTTCAACCTAACGTCTTAATTCTTTATTTTAAGGTTTTTATTTGGGGCTTACCAAACTCTGATCAAACAAAGAAAAGACCCCCTGGCTAGTGAGTATTGGAGCAGATGTAGCAGTTACAACTTACATTGTTTTGCCAACAGCTAGTGTAGAACGATCCAAATAGTACAAATAAAAATGATTTGGACTGATAAAGCATTTACAATTTTTCAATTCTCTTCTCACCAATTCTCTCCTATCAACACAATGTATTTTGGCATATGACATTAAAATACCAAACTAATGAGATGTGGAAGTTCAAAACATCATAAAGAGATTCTGTGCATATGAGTTCAGTCTACAAGTGTGTGCTCATGCCCCATACCAAAGCTGTGGAATCTATTGGCAAGCTCTCTTCTAAGGGTTTAGAACAGCGTACATGGGTGCAAAGGGTTATCATTTGACTTTTCTAGCAAGTTAATTTGATTATTAATTAGTTTTATCAGGTTTTTTCCCCTCAACGTTCATTTCTATAAGCAAATTAAAATCATTTACATTTTTTAAATCCTGCCAGCACAGTCTCTGAACAAAAATATTAAATATCATACATTTTTGTATGAATATGTAAATAAGGTAATGCCTGAAAATCAAACTTCAGAATTCTTCTTCATTAGAAGGCCATTGTTCCATGTGTTACAAAAATACAAATAATAAAGATGAATGTGTCTAAATATTTAATTAATGAATCATGCACTAGCCAAAGTTGGGTGAAAAGACTATTGAGCCATTAGGTTTCTGGGTTGTTTTTTTTTAAAGGAGCACTGCATCACTGTAAAACAAATGGGGCAGATTCATTGGAGTTGAATTGTGTCCCACTAACAAAGAACAGGAGTCAGTGTGTTTAGTGAATAAAAGGCAATATTCCTATCTGATCGCTGCAAAAGAAACATCTAATGAAGGTGTATTATGTAACTATTAAAATGAAAGTGTGATCTTTAAGCCTATGCGTACATC